TATATAAATGAATACAGGGGTCTATATAAATGCATACAGGGGTCTATATAAAAGAATACCCCTGTAAGTGTTCAAGCATACGCAGCAATGCCCCAGCAATGCTCGCGGCCTACTATGGAGGGGGGATGGATTGCTGATGGACTACCGACCGGAGAATAATAGCGAATGCAACTCACAACTTCTGCGACCATCATCTCGCAGGAATTCAGGTCGCAGTTTGTAGTACTTGGTGTCACACCCACCCGCATCCGAGTCCCCAAACATTTCAATTTCAACATTAGTGTTGGTAATTGGTGTGACAATTACTCGAAAATGTGAACCACAGATTCCGTTACTGGGAGCACTGCTCAATCGTGCTTTCCCTACGGAACTAATTACTCTCCCCGGCAATCTCCGAGGGTCGCATATGGAGGGGAGAAGACACTGTGCTTGTTGATGGACTTGCAGGTCGGAGGACCATGACTAATGCAAATCACAACTTCTGCGGCCGTCATCTGGCGGATATTACCGAATCATAAAAACTGCGGGTGTAGCCGGTCGCCAACGAATGAACTACGACTCGGGAGTTGGCGTCATTTCTCCTCCTGCTCACCGCTATTCAGTGTTCGGTTATCTGTGTTTGGGGTAATATCCCCGTTTCGCTTACTTGCTGGATTTACCCGTAACTATATTAAATGTGCTACAAGACTCTGGACGTTTCGTGCGCTAGCAGTGGGTCTCTCAACATCCAATGGCTGCCTCTGATATATGTGCAAACTCATTCCCCAGTTGTGTGCGAGACGGCGGCTAATGGTTGCCAAGACGTTCTTGATGTATGTGAACGCTCACCCCTTTTTGAGACAGCTGTGGTGTTATCTATCTCTCGCGTCGCAAGCAAGTTACAAGAGTTTTGGGTCCACTGCAGTGCCATTCAACGGGCATTTACGCTTATTGCTCATTGAGTGATTGCTGTTGGAGCTCAGCACTTGGTTTTCCCTTTCCTGAGGACTTTATTTTTGGGCCACCACAACGTTTGTGATAGACGAAGATCTCAGGGAAGGCCAACTGATTCTCTTCTGCCTCCTTCGTCGTAAACCGCATATCTGCGAAGTCAGCCTTGAAAGTGCGTGTTATCGTTAGAACCTGATCCCCTTCTATGATTACACCCGTTCAGTCACATCCAGTTCCTAACATGTTGCCTGTGCTGTTTGAAGACCAATAGGTCCAAAGGTTGCAAGCTCGTCTCGGCTAGTAATGCCGAAACATGTGTGAACCCAGTGCTCGTGGACTGTGCATCGAACTTTAAACGCGTTTTGTGGAGTGCATGCAGGTGTGAAGTGTTGGGCGTGTCCTGGGCGTTCCCTCTCCATCGCACTCGATTTTCAGCCGCAGTCTCGGCTGTCACCTGTTGAAAGTAAAGTGGCAATTGACGTAGAAAACAATGTTTAGCTGGAGGCAATTTGTCAAAGAAATGTGTTGACTCATTTCTGTGATTGTGCAGATCAGAAGCCAGCAGTTGAAGCCGCAAAAATATGTTTTTTTGCGCCCTGTAAGTTGAAGTGCCTTTAAGGAATGCGATGCGTCTGTGGCGAATGCCTATTTGCGAAGGCCATAGAATGGAGGACTTTTAAGATATTTCTGTGTGCCCCATTTCTGTTGGTAAATGCACCTCTGTCGGAAGTTTATCGTGGATTGGCATATTTTCTGCTATTGGGTGATGTAATAAAAATACACCCATCTTGCTAGTTTCGTACCGTTAAACTTCAGACGTAATTTAATACGATGTTTGACGCAAAGAGCGAAAAATATCTGCTCGACTGATAGCATCGAAGAGGAGCTTAAGATTGTTGAAGGCGTGTCTCGAAAAATGGGTATCCCGGTCGATTTATCGTTAAGAACATGGCTGAAAGACCGCCAAAGCCCTCAGTGTTAACGGCAGAGAAGAAGCAAATATTTATCAGGTTCCCATTTCAAGGGACGGGCTGAGCGAATTTCTAAGGACGCGCCTGATTCGAGCTGTACCGACCACCTTTCTAGCAGCTAACGCCCGTGTACTGTTCTCGACTACTCCCATGCTATAAGCAGAGATCAAGGACAAACTGCAAGTCCAGACCACCTTTGTATTCATCTGCTCCTGTGGGGCAGCATATATTGTTCACACGAGCCGGCGTTTGTCCAAAAGAGTACGAGAACACATTCCAGTAAGGTAAGGGAAGGGCCAAATAAAGGGTATAAGCAGTTCTATTCTAGCGCACCCGGTAGACTCAGACCATCACGTGGATGCCATAGAGGCCTTCCGAGTGCTCTACAAGGTGCCTTCAAGCGTCTGTAGGCTATGGCAGAAGTGGCCGTCATCAGGCTACGCCGACCGGTCCTGTGCGTCCAGAAGTACTTTGTCGCGGCGCCGCAGTTCCCATGGCCGAAAGTCGCTAATCCAACAGCCAGCAGATTATCACCTTTCTCGGCTACCAGTCCCCCTAACTGTGATCAGATTTTTGACCTCCGATTTTCCCGCTTCCCCCACCTCCCTTGAGCAGAGGCCAGTGAACCAATCTAAGCCCGGTAGCCCTGCCAACTCGTATCGATATTCGAAGTGAAGCATTTAATTTCCCCTTCTTGCCACGTTTGGTGATTCGGTCTATATGGGTTCAGGGAAGCATCTTGCCAACACAACTTCAGCTTTCCGATCCTTCGGTCTTGCGTTGGATTTGCGAATAAGAAGACGAAGAGACGAAACTGAATTATTTCCGCTCTGTTGTTTGGCACTATAGATGATTTTAGGAAGGTCTCCACACAAACCTATCCTGCAGTCAGTTTAACCAATACCACGTATTCCAGACAAGGTCTTGGACTGCGTTGTTTAAGCGATGAGACCAAGCCGGAACAAATCTACTTTCAAATGTCCCATTCTTTTCTGGTACACCTCACTAAGCAATTGATATTCAACTGGTAAGACAGGGAAAATGGGCCCCTCTAGTACAGATGATCCTGTGCTAAATAACAAATAAGTACCTGTTCCCATTTCTCTAGCCCATGCGCTAAAACTAGCCCAATCCTTAACCCCAACCCGAACATTGAACCGCAACATCAGTAGTCAATCTACCTTAATTCTAATATCAGTTTTAATCCAACTTAAATCCAAACTCTAAACTTAGTCCTAGTTCTAACTCTAATTTCCCTGGAATTCAGCGCAAGGCTACTTATGCTACGGGGGTCCCGGTTTCTGTATCCTAGCCTGAAAACACACATAGGTACTGAAGTTTCCGAACTTTTGCAACATAGGAAGTTTACTTGGCACATTTCATCATTGTTTCCCCCCTTCCGAATTCAGAGGAGATTGGCGTATTATCGAGCAATGGACATTGTGATGGCATTGGCTATCGGCAAGTTCCCTCTATTCACCCCGGACCTGAATCAGTGACAACCTGCGCAGTCAACGTCACAGGAATCACGTTTCCGCCGGGCTCCTACTGTTTCTACAAAACCTCCACAGTTTGTCCACCTGGTGAGTCGAGGCCAGACAGCATGCAAACCAGCTGTCTGTCTATATAGTTAAAAATATACAAGAGAACACAAATATTGTTAATTACGCTGCCGCTCTCTCTTTTTATCGAGACTATCAAACCCTATATCAAGATCCAGGTGGCTATTCGTATGGCGTTACCCCTAGACATTCTTATGATACGTCAGGACGCGAAAGGACATATGTCTTTCCTAGTTTTGTGCTAAAATGATTACTATAAAAGAGTATTTGTGTGAGTTAACCGTATTTTGTTCAACAAGGTGTGCAATTAACCACCTCCTCTTCCTCGTAATTATCAGCCAGATTTCCGTTTTCCGACTTTTAAATCATTCCATAAATGTCGCAAAAATTCCCATCACAGAAATCCGAAGAGCAATTGGTGAGCATACGTATACTTTCAATAAATTCTCATCAGGCCATTACATTTATATGGGAGGGGGTGGGGGATAAAGTGTAAAAGGTAAAATTATGTTCAAAGTTACAAGCAAATTAGTTCAGGGGATGGGGAGGGGGTTGGGGTAGTAACAAGCGGCTAATTAAGCGGCATTTAGGGAGAGGGGGAAAAGGGAAATAGAGGAGGCTTGGAAAAATGCCGGTAGCTAGGTGGCCGTTGGCCACGCTAAGCTTGGGGCC